GCGCGTGCACAGCCAGAAGGAGGGAGAGAAACACATGTATACAAGGTTCGTGACATACGCACGGTCCACCATGTTGTAAACGATCGCATGCACGGTAAGTTCTGAAATTATACGTATTTACAAGCAGACATGCGAGGGAGAAAGGGAGATGGCCATCGACAGTTCCAATACGGCTCCTATGTTTTCTTGAACTCGCATCTTGAAATTGTTGAAAACCCATTGTGTTTGCAGGGGATTTCGACATGCGCGCGCGGCGGCCGCGCGCATGTGCACTTCGTTTCATTTTTTGCAAGGGATGGTGGCCCTCGCAGGCGCGCAACCGTTGTTGGAGAAGTTCAAAGCACCTGAAGAAGTAGCACGCAAAGACCCTTTTGACAGAAATGTTTAAAAAGTGGTGTTTTTCCTATGAATCCGCAAGAGCGCGCGGAAGGACATTTTGACAATTTTTTCTTAAAAAACCATTGGGTTTTTGATGTTTTTATGTTAAAATCGCTACGAAACCTAAGGGTTTGGAAGGATTTCGTCTTGCGAGCGCGAATGTCCACTTTACCTTATTTTTTGCAAGGGATTCTTGAAATTTGATCAACTAAGAACAAGAATTTTCATTTTCTATTGTTTTTTGCAAGGGAAACGAGCGTCAACAAAAAACCGGATCCGGGGGTAATCCACTTTTCTGAAGCTTTCGCAAAAAAATGATGAAAATGTAGCTGCGGCCTAGGCGCGGCGCAGAGGTCGCGCACCAGGGGTCCCAACAATAATAATTCTTTAGAAGGAATAATGTTCCAACAACAACAACAACAACAACAACAACAACAACAACAACAACAACAACAACAACAACAACAACAACAACAACAACAACAACAACGACGACGACGACGACGACGACGACAACAACAACAACAGTAGCAGCAGCAGCAGCAGCAACAACAACCGCAACAACAGCAACAACAGCAACAACAACCATGCTAAGACTGTTCGCTCATGTCTTCTCCATTGCCAATCAATACGTATATCCCAAGCCCTCGGTACCCGCCCTCGTCATCTTCGATCGTACCCCCTTGGGGGTATATCTTCCTTCCCTGCCACGTGCATGTAGTGCAGCCCCTAAAACAAGGGAAGAGAGGAAGGGTGGAAGGGGGAGGAAGAAGAATGGAGCACGAGAGAAATTAGCAGGACGGGGGCAAAGAGCAGAAAACGAGTGGTAGAACCAGACGGGCAGATCGGGTGGGCAGACTCATAGCGGGCAGGTCGGGAAGGCGGGCCCCGGCGACCAGGTCGAGCAGGCGGGTTGCTGAAGCGTGGGTCCTGCATGAATCGCGAGGAATTATCGAATGATAGCGCGATTCGTGAGCAAAAGCTAAAACGAGAGCGTGATTCCTGGGCGCCGAAGGCGCATCGTCTGAATAAATTGCGAGGAAGTCCCACGCGAGAGCGCGATGCGTACATGAATTGTGAGGAAATCCCGCGCGCGAGCGCGATTTGGGAATAAATTGTGAGGACGAATCAGGCGGGAGCCGGTGATGTTGTGCCCCAAACCTCTTTTCGGTCAACCAGAAGAAGGCCGGGAAACTTCAGTGCCTTCTGAGAGGGCCCGCCCTTTCTCACTTCCCCCCTCGGGAGCGCCGCCGACCGCCCCTCGGGGCCCCATCTTTGGGAGCCCCCGCCCTCCCCTCCCCCCGCGGCCTGCGGCGGAGCCGGCGGAGCCGGCTCCGCCGCAGGCCGCGGGGGGAGGGGAATGGACTTCTGGGAACTCGAAGGACACGAAGTGGCCTACAGTTGGCTCCAGGCATTCAAAGTCATGCCCAGGAATTGAGTTCTGGGAACTCGAAGACCACGAAGTGCGTTACTGTTGGCTAAGAAAGGAGTCCCCGGATTCCCGCGGCACCCGTCCGGCATCTGCCCAGACCCCCTCTGGGGAGTCAGGATGCTCTCTTTGGACCCTACTAGAAACCTATCAGTCTTCGCTGTTAGGTAAAAACGTCCTGAATCCCCGCAACTGGGCCTCCAGAATCCAGACGCCATGAAGGCGAACCTTGAAACGTCCTGGATCCCCGCAACTGGGCCTCCAGACGCCGGAACCGCTGAGAAAAACCTTGCGTATCCTTCCTCGAACCACTCCTCGAACCACTCCTCGGGCTCCTCCTCCTCCTCCTCCTCCTCCTCCTCCTCCTCCTCCTCCTCCTCCTCCTCCTGCTGGTCCTCCTCCTCCTCCTCCTCCTCCTCCTCCTCTTCCTCCTCCTCCTCCTCGTCCTCCTCCTCCTCCTCCTCTTCCTCCTCCTCCTCCTCCTCTTCCTCCTCCTCCTCCTCCTCCTCCTCCTCACTGCTCATGGGCTTTCGGATGTATCAGCCTGCCTCAGCGTCTGCCTCAGCCCTCAGCCTGCCTCAGCCTCAGCCGCAGCCTCGGCCTCAGCCTGCCTCAGCTCGGACATTCAAAATTATCCCGGCAAAGCTTCGCTCTCATCTGCTCGCGTGTCATTCAATACGCATATCCCAAAGCCTGGATACCCGCCCTCTTCGTCTTCGATCGTACCCCCTTTGGGGGGCTAGATTCTTTCCTTGCAACGTGAAAATGGAGAACCCCCTAAACATGAAAACGAAGGGGAAAGGAGAAAGAGAGCACGAAGGGATCGGAGGAAGGGAGGGAGGAGAGGGGCAAGGGGGAGGAATGACGATGCTTTGTGCCGCGAGTTGCGATTCAGCTTGCGCCATGGCTTGGGATCTGGGGCAACAAGGGGAAGCGATGGGGTCACAGAGGGCAGCAACGGGGCCGCGAAGGGCAGCAGCGGGGCCACAAAGGGCGACAGTGGGGCCACGAAGGGCGGCAATGGGGCCTCAAAGAGCGCGGGCGAGCGGGGGCCAAGAAAGGCATACGTAACTATGGGGCCACAGCAGAGACAGCGACGGGGCCACTGAGGGCAGCAACGTGGCCGCTTAGGGCAGCGAGGGGGCCACGAAGGGCGACAGCTGGGCCACGAATGGCAGCGAGGTGCATCGAAGACGGGCGAAAGGCAACGAGGGGTGACTGCTGGCCCCAACCGGCGGGTCGGGCGGGCGACCCATACGGACAGGTCGAGCGGCGGGTCGCTGAAGCGTCAGTCCTGCATAAACCGTCACAAAGTAAAAAGCAAGAGTGCTATTGCCAAGCAAAACGCCAGGAAGTCCAAATCGAAAGCATGATTCCTAAGTGTCGAGGCGCGGCGTCTGAATGAGTTGTGAGGACATCCCGCGCGAGAGCGCGATTCCTGTTTAAATTGTGAGGAAGTCCCGCGCGAGAGCGCGATGTGGAAATCAACTGTGAGGAAGCATCAAGCGGGAGCCGCTGTCGCTGCAAACCAGGACCCAACAACGCAGCTTGGTGAACCCTCATTTTCCCTCGTTAAAAAACGAAGTGAAAGCCCCTGGAGAAGCACTTGAAGTGAAAAACAATGGTTACCGGAGAAGGGTGATCAACAATAACAACAATCATCTCAAGACTGTTCCCTCCTATCTGCTCGCGGTCGGCCACGTTGGCCCAAGATAGCCTCCAAGATGGTCCAAGATGGCCTCCAAGTCCGCCCAAGATGGTCCAAGACGGCCTCATGACGGCCCAAGAGAGTCCTAGATATCTCCAAGTTCGCCCAAGAAGCCTCCAAGACGGCCCAATACGACCCAAGAGGCCTCCAAGAGGTCCTCCAGGAGGGTCCGAAGAGGCAAAAATCATTGATGTTCTTTAGGTTGTTGGAAGATTTTGGCATTTGCTTCTTCTCGGCATTCCGACGGATCAAGACGGCCCAAGAGGCCCCCAAGATCGCCCCAAGATCGCCCAAGAGGCCTTCAAAAATTTCCCTTGATGGCACAAGGGCCCCCAGGAGGCCTTTAAGACGCCCAAGATGGCCTCCAAGACGGCCCTGGAGCATTCCAAGAGGGCCCCAAATCGGCCCAGAGAGGCCCCCCAAACGGCCTCCGACGGCGTCAGACGGGCCAGGAGCCCAGCCCACCAAGACGCCCGAAGATTGCCCGAAGATGGCCCAAGACGGCCCAAGAGGCCTCCAAGAGGGCCTCCAGGAAGGCCCGAAAATGCCAAAACCATTGATTTCCCATGAGTTTTTGAACGATTGTGGCATTTGCGTTTTTTCTACCTTCCGACGGCCCGACACTGCCCAAGTGCCCCCAAAGATCGCCCAAGAGGCCCAAGACGGCCCCAAGAGGCCCCCAAGACGGCCCAAGAGGCCTCCAAGACGCCCAAGATGGCCTCCAAGACGGCCCAAGAGCCCTCCAAGACGTCCTCCAAGAAGACCCGAAAGGGTCAAAATGGCTTCCCGACGGCCAAGATGACCTTCAAGATGCCCACGTGTTCCCCGAAGGCTTTCCAAACAAATTCGGGGAACACATGGTCCGATAGCTTGACAGGTCTAGCCTCAAAGTTCGGCCACATAGGCGCTTCCAAAAAGGCAGGGGGCGGCGGTGATTCGCCGTAGGCGTCTTCGATAAGGGGGCTCCACCTTTGGCCCCAGTGGTCGCCCCACTTCGGCACACCCCATCACGCGCTTCGTGGCCCCACAGGGAGGCTCCAATGCCCGTCCTCGAATGTGGCTCCCCGCTATTTTCGGCACATCTTCCACACGCTTCGCGGCCCCATAGGGAGCTCCACCTGAGGCTCCAATGGCCGTCCTCACATGCGGTTCCCCGCCCGCTGCGGCACACTCATCATAGACTTCATAGCCCAACGGGGAACTCCGCCTGAGACCCCCGTGCCCGTCCTCGCATGCGGTTCTTCCCCGCCTATTTCGGCACACCCCTCACACGCTACGTGGCCCCGTAAGGAGCTCCACCTAAGCCACGAGTGGCCGTCCTCGCATACGGCCCCCCGCCCATTTTGGCACACCCCTCACACGCTTCGTGGCCCCATAGGGAGCTCCACCGAAGGCCCCAGTGGCAGGGTTCACAGGCGCCCCCCCGCCCATCTCGGCACACCCCTGTTGCCCCATATGGAAATCCACCGAAGAGGATCCCCAGAATTGCGGCACCCACAGCCATTGTATTTTTCCTGCGCAAAGGGAACCATGCAATGAGAAAGGTCAAGGCGTAGTCAGCGTTAGATCACCGGTGCTTGAAAGCTTGCTCGATGCCGTAGCCGAGCGCCACGGAACCAAGTATCCGGAACGCGTAAACACCGACCCAGAACGCAAACACCAACCACTTTTCAATCACTCTGAATCGCGACGGGTGGCTTCCCAATTCCTTCATCAATCTGGCGAACAGTCGCTGGTCGACTACAATGAGCCCGCTGGTTGCCCGAGCAAGGTGAGCGACTTGCTCCACCGCTAACGCAAGCGAGTCACTGTCCACACCGTCGCGCAACGAAGCCATGAAGATCTGGGTCGGGAATATCCTCGGGTCCTTTATCATGTCATCGCCCTGTGCCGCGGTCTTGTCGGAACGCATCAGGCCTGAGCGACCATGCTTCTTGACTGAACTGGCAACGACTGAGCCGTCTGCGCCGACGGCCGTTTGGAGGAGGCCTTCACCCACACGGACCTGTTCCAGCGCCCCTTGCTTGTTTGTCTGGTAGCAATTTGTCGAGGCTAGCTGGCTCCGATTGGGCAGGTGCCCTTGGCAGCACCAGTGCCCCACCTTATGGCCGCTCTTGGAAGTTACAATCCCCGTCTTGTTGCCGGAAAAAGTCGCTTCTGACAGTTGAAAGATCTCTTCATCTCCATCTTGTTCTGCAGAATTGGTGTCGTTCAGCACAGTGAAACAGAATGCGCTGCTGCTTGACACATTGTTAAACTTCAAGAAGTCTTCATCTTCCCATAGCTCAGCATCCGCCGCGGCGGTGCTTTTGATCCGCCACCCTGCCCCCCTGGTACGTTTAGGCGTGGCAGGAGCCCGGACGAGAATCCTGTCGGAGCCCGAGTAGGGGAGGACCGCCACCACGGCCGCGAACATGGCCCAGCACTGCCGCAAGAGGCACCCGACAGCTCCCGAGACGCACCGATCCGGCGTGTGCTTTGTACAGGGCGCTGGAGCCTGAGCTTCAGCTCTGCTGGGGGGGGGGGGCCGGGGTCGCTCTGCCGGGGCAGGGGCAGAGGGGCGGGGGACCCAGACCCCCGACGTCGTGATTTTTTCACGACGTCGATCCCCAGAGGTCTGGACCCCTTCCCTGGGACCGGTTTTTCGTCCTGCATCGTTTTTTGACGGTCCCGAGGCCCTGGAAGGGCCCCTAGAGGGCGAAAATAGCGAAAAACCTCCCGTCGTGATTTTTTCACGACGCCAGGAGGTCTGGGGAGGGGACTGCAACTCTTGTCCGGAGCTGAGCCGCGCTCGCCAGGGCTCGGCTCGCCGCGCCGTCGGCTCGCCGGGGCTCGCGT